CGCCCCGGGAGCCGAGGCCCTGACTGGGCCCCAGTCACACTGGAGCCCTCGGCATCGCCACCCCACGGGCGAGCACGGGGCTAGCAGGTCCCTATACACAGGGAAGGGTGCAGCCTGCCCACGTGGCCCGCCCCAGGCTAGCCCGCCCCAGCCCTGCAGGGAGGGGGCAGTAGGGGACTGGTGCTAGGGGTGGGAAAGGCAAAGGGCCCTGCCCCTGTCGGGACCCTGAAAGTCCCTCACTGGTCCCCTGGGGGCCCACTCTCACCCCCCGCTCTGCCCCACAGTCTCCCCGCCTCCCCTCAGCCCTCCTGCTCAGGGCAACCTGGGGACCCGGGGGACAGGCCAGCAGTCAGGCACTGAGCAGGACAAGAGGAGGAACCTTGAGGGAGGGCGATGGGGTAGGGACAGGCACTGACCGCAGCGAGGGCAGTGCACCTGGGCTCGGGGTCAGAGAACAGACTCTGACTTCTGAGTGATGGAGGAGCCAGCCCAGCAGCCCCACAAAGAACAGCATGGTGCTGAAGGGAACAGCCAGTGTGAAGGCTCAGAGGCAGGGACCCAGAGGGCTGGGCCGGCATGAGGGGTAGCGGAAGAGTGGGCCCAGATCAGGCGTTTAGGTTGGGGGCCTGGAGAGGCAGGCGTAGAGCCTCATTCCAACGCCCCAGGGAGCCGGCGGGCTCTAAGCCAAGGGGCCTGGCCTGGCCGCGTGTGGAGAGGGGACGCGGGTGATCACAGAGCCTCCAGCTCCAGCAGCTGCTCAGGAGAGAGGCGCTGGCTGGGCCGCCTGCTGTCACCACGGCGACAGGTCCAGAGAGCCTCACTCACAGGCCCTCCTGGAGGCAGGATGAGGGAGAGGAAGAGGGAAGGGATGCTGGGGCCAGTGGGGCAGGGGCCGAGCTGGGGTGCTGTCCCGGACACGTGAGCCAGAGAGGCCTGTAGGGCAGCAGGCGGCGTGCCCCCAGCAGCTGAATGTAAAAATAACTGTGGAGTCATGAGCACGCAAAGGCCTTTACAGCAAGAGGGGGCATCTGGGAAGAGAACCTCCCAACTCCGTGGGGGGCGGGGGGCCTGCCGCGAAGACCAGAGCCCGAATTGCTGGAGATGGGGGTCCACACGCCGAAAAGGCTGGAGCCGGCACAGAGGCCGGAGGAGCAGCAGCTGGACTTGCCCTGAGAGGTCACAGTGACCTTGAGGCGGTGTCTTCGGGGGAGCGGCTGCTGGAGCCGGGGGACCGGCTGATGGTGCAGCCGGGGGGGGGGCGCGTGGGCTGGGGGGCCACTGGCCCGGCTGG